GTTAAGTTATGATAAGATTTTCTTTTGCATTTGATATATTACTTATTGAATTGTCAACTTCTTTTTAAATTTCATTTTTGTGTTTGAAAAATTTGAACTTCTTATTTTAAAAAAGACTTATTTTCTCAACAATAATCGCTTATAATATAGCATGATGTGTCCCAAGTTTTTTAATAAATTTGTGTCTTGGAGATGTAGTATTTTTGAGTGATTGGCCTAACTCTTTTTTTTATAAATACTTTTATCATTTCTAGATTGTTCTTTGTTTTTCGAATGATTTTCGTAAACTTCTATCAATAAAATTTTTATCAGATTTTTAAAATTTATTATGTCATAAAGACAACAATCAATGTTTCTATAAATAAATTGATTTAATTTAAATTTACTATTTAAATTTTTAAACGTTTGAATATCGTTGTTCGAGAAATTAACTATAACGTGAATATTGAATAAATCTTAGAAGCTTCTGGTGTTATTACTTTATTCATAAGTCCTATTTGTTGACATTATATTAATATAACTGTCACTACTTTTCATATAAGGACGATAGTCGCTTTCTTCTATAGATTCATAATAATTTTACCATTTATTTACGATATTTCAGTCACTAAAGAACGAGCTGTCATATGAAAATCTTCATTATTATAAAGAAAGTACAAAAAAAGTTACAGATAAACAATTTTCATCTACATTTACTCTTACTTTGATACGGTAGTGGATAGTTTTCTTGGTAAACTTTGTTTCCAAGCTTTGTTACTGATCAAATTGGTACGGTTAAGAACTTAAACTTTTTGATTATTATTACTTACGTCATATTTTACTGATTGTTTTTAGCTTAACAACAGCAAGCTGCAGGCTTAATTAATCGTTTATCACAAAAAATCTATATTATTAATACACATACACTTTACAATCAAAATTGCCATTCTTTTAAAATTACTAAATAACCAGCGAATTACTCAGTTAATGTAGAAAAATATTTTTGTCAGATGGTAATCTTGTTCATAAAAAAGCAAAACCAGTTCAAAATAATTTATTTTTTGGAAATAATTTAAGTCAATTGAAGCTCAACCAGTTAATACAGAGCAACTGCCGTATGAGAAAAATAACAGTCTTCTTTCGTCGATTCTTTGGGAGAAGGTACGTGTATGTTTGTCATCGTAAATTTGGCGCTTGATTGTTGTGTGTGCGTTATTAAAATTTTTCTTTCAATAGCTTACCAGGCTGAAAGTATACTTATTTTAATAGATGAGTTTTGTAAAAACAAGAATAATATTTACTTTTTGTTACTTATATCAGCTGAAGGTTTACGTGCCTGAGGACCCTACAGATTAGCTGTCATTAATCTTCAGACTCAATCTTGATTCGACAAATTTCAAAATACAGTCAGTGACTGAATAATGACTGATAAAGTTGTCAATGATCATTAAAAGTAAGCGTAAATATTTATTACATGCCTTTAATCATCACGTTAAGGTGAATACAATGTTAAAGTTATGTAAACAAAATTTATACAAATCTTACGCCAAAAAAATATTTTTTTTTGAACTTGTTTTAGATGTAATGGCTTGTGTTGCACATAAAAGAAAATTTTACCACAAATGACTAATGACACACTGCACTTTTTAAATTTCTTATTTGTACTCTACTTAACTATGTTCATTTTGTTCTAGCTTTAATCGTGATACTTTTGTATCTTTACGTAAACAACTAATCAAGCTGTTCCCAACCCGACTATCTCATGAATTGTATGGGGAAAGTGGCAAAGATGTTTGAGCAAGGGTTTGCTTGTTTTAGTGATATAAACATCTCAGAGCTGATGCGACTGAAACTTAAACCTTCAGTGGAACCATAAAAACAAGTGGAACATAAAGTATAGCCGTAATTTTTTAGTTAAACTAGCTTTCCACAGGAAAAATTGTTAAAATTCTTGATACCATAGCCAATACAATAATAACACTTGCAAAAGATAATCAAAAAACAACAGTGTAATAAAAGAGATCTTGGACAAGAATCTTGCAGTTAAGGATGGCTTGTAAATGTATTTTTATTAAAAAAACAATTTATCTTTATCTTCTTATATCCACAAATGTCACTTGAAAATAAAATCATTAAAATCATTTAGGACAAACTTTCAAGTAGTAATTTTTCTTAATAGAGACTCTTGCTTTTTTCATCTTTCATCACTTGTGCCCTTTGCCAAGCAACGTCATAATATTGAAAAAAAGTGCAAAAGTAAATTGGCAAGAAAAATTTTATTGTTTTTTGATGCACAAACTCGTAATTTTTAACGGTTCTAAGAAATATTTTATACTTTAATGTTTAAGAAATTCATTTATTACGTGTTAACACCCTTCAAGTTTTTTTTCTTTTATTTTTATTTTTTTTTAAAACGAGAAAGCTGTCTTCAACAGCGTCAAAGATTGAATGAACCCGAGATTTTGGCCTATATTTTTTGTGGTAGATCCCTAGCACGACATAAAGTAGTGTATCTCCTGGTTAATGACCACTGTCAATTTTCCGTGGATTTTCTGATAAATGCTGTAGACACCCTCTAGAAAATAACTAAAAATAATTAAGTAGAAAAATATTCGGTATTACAAAAATTTTTCATTTCTTAGATTCTTATGTGCACAAATTATCAAACAAAATTCAATTTTAAAACGTAACTAATAACATTCAGAGGATAAAAACTGTAAAATCCACAGAGAATTCTTGAAATCCTAAAAAATAGCTTGTTATTCAAAAACAACAGGTATCTGCAAGTACAGAGCCATAAGTTAAGATGTTGCGTCAGTCGTTAAAAGAATAATTCTATGTAAAAATTCAAATAATGCGAGTAATTGCATTTATTGACATTTCCCAGCCAATATGATATTGCCAAGGCAGCTCGACTTTTTCAATTAAAACTACTGTTTGTAGAAAACTGTTATACGTAGCAATTTAAGTAAAGTGCCACCACGACCAGGACTTGAACCTGGAACTTTTTTCTTACCAGGAAAGTGCGTTACCAATTTCGCCATCGAGGTGTCGGTAACTCCTCTTTTCAATCGCTACATTTTATACTTTCTCGACAATTTTTCAGTCCAACGCCCTGCTCATTAAAGCAAATCCCAGAAACTTTTTATTTCCTGTCCCTGACAGTTTATTCGATCAGATCTCTATTTTCTTCCAACTTTTAACTATAGTTTTTTTCTCTAGATATTATTCTAGGTAAAAAATGCAACAACAGGTATTATATAGCTTTTATTATTTAATTAGAGTACAAAGAAGCTGAGAAAAGTGTCAAAAACGCTAAATTTTTTTTGTTCTTTTCAAAAATGTGTTTCTTTGATACGCTGTAACTTTTGAAGCATATCTCCAAACGACTTGAAATTTTGCGCAAAGTTAGCTATTAACAAAATCTTTGAAAAACTATTACGATTAGAGGTGTGCTCCTAATTGGACAAGAATGTTAAAGGCATAAAGTTGTGTCCTTACTTTTTAACTAAAACCATATTTTTTGATATTTTGTTACGCCACGTTTGGAGCATTTGTTAAATCACCAATGAAAAAATTTTTCGTTAAACAACATTAAAAACCAAAGAGATTAGTGTATTAAATTTAAATGTGCTCTCTAATGTGAGCCAGTAATGAAATCATAATTATAAAAATAGGTCGTGAACATGATTTTTAAAAATCAGTATTTTTACTAGCACATGGAGAATTTTCGTAAAAATCTCATGAAAACCATTGTTTATCTCGAAGTTCAATGGAATAAACAAATAGGTACGGTGTGTTGAAGGTACGTTTCTGACTAGTTTCTTGTGTTAAAATCCTATGTTTACATCTTTCGTACGGTGTGTTGATATTTTGTTTCCATCGTCTTTCGTAATGTAGTATACAACGATTATCAGATACACGTTTAATTTGCGATTTAGTAAGATCTATGAGTATTAAAAACCATTCGATTTAACTTCTAACAGTGAAAATTGAAATTCTAACCTGATATTATGTAAAGCTTTTTGAGACGACCTACTTGAGCTAAAAAAATTGTACATGAAAAAGAAACGTTCAGAGGAAGTTGAAAAACGTGAGCTTGAAAAGAAGAGAAAAGCTAAGTTCAACGAAAACAAGCGGTTTAAAAGAGTATGCGTCGAAGTAACGAATAAAAACGTATTGTCTAGTAAGGTACAAGAAAAAAACTTATAAGACCATAAAGTGCTTCAAAGGGCGTTTCAGTCGAGGGAAGGGCTACTGAATAGTCATGTATACTTGCAATCTTTTTCTGGTACTGATTCGTGTAACAGACTAAGCATTGATACCTCTATAAATAATTATGATTTAATGGAGCAAAATATAACAAATTCAAGTGAAAATGATCACTCAGATAGTACTTTGCTAGCAAACTTTGATAAGGATAATCTATTGCTAAACCATGGAGAAACTAATATTTTGAACGATAATCTAGAGTTTTCATCAGACAGGTGTGTGAAAATGGGAAAAAAATCTGTAACAATAAAAAAAAAAAAATTTTCAGAATTACTGAGAAGTGCTACAAATAGGGAATTGAAATTATGAAGACAAATAATTCAGTACAGAAGTGTTCATACATGAAAGGATAAGGAAATAGATAAATGGAAAATAGATATTGAAGGCTTAGGGATTCGAAAATAGAAAAAGACCCAATTTTAGAGGAAGTTAAGGTAATTGAATCAAAGGGTAAAAAACACATAAGAGAACAATTATATTTATGGCTTATTTTAAAACAGCAGTTACAAGAAACAAGCATTACTTTACAAAACGAAAAGGATAAAGCAACATTTTCTCGACTTATTTCTGGTAAAATTGTACAAAAATATAAATAAAAAATAAATATATTACATCTGATCTGGTAAGCACACACATTAAAAAATAAATACTCTTCTCGTACTTTATTGATTCAGCAGCGAAATCGACGCTCTACAGAGTATAAGCAAAAATTTTTAACAGAAGTAAGAAATTTTTTTGAACGAGATGAAAACTCGCCGGTAGCTCCGGGGGCAAAAGATTTTATTGTGAAAAATAAAGAAAAAAAAAAAAAAGATTTTTACTAGACTCTATTGATAATTTGCACAGAAAGTATTTAAATAAAGGCATGCTAAGGGTATCACGCACTACAGTTTTTCAATTAAAACCGTTTTGCGTTGTTTATAAAAATGTGTCTGCTCGAGATACATGCATGTGTAAAACAGATACAAACATGTTTTATTTAATAACAAAATTAGGGCAGCTGAAAATTATACCATATCAAAATCTGAGTATTTTTGTCAAATCAAAAGTTTGTAATAATTTTAGCAAAGATTGTTAGTATGGAGTGTGTTCACTGTGCATGAATAAAGCTATTTCAATGCTCAACAGCGATTTGCAAGTATTTTATTACAAATGTAAAACTCATTATGTAGAAAGACCAGGCGCAAAAGGCCAAATTAATAAAGTTGAAATTACGTCAAAAGAAAAAATTTATTGTACTGTAGATGATTTGATGAAGTTAATGGTCCGTTATTGCCTTTTCTATAACACGTACATGAAACCGATCACCAACATAAAGCAATCCAAATTTTGAAAGATACTTCAAGAGATCACGAAGTCATGATAGTAATCAATTTTTCACAAAATTATCTATGCAAATGTTCAACAGAGATTCACAGTGCACATTTTGGAGCTTCTCGGAAACAAGTTACGTTACATACCAGAGTTTTTCATTACAGGGATCCGAAATCTGCAGATTTATCTTGCGTTTCTTTCTGTGTCCGAATCAATAAGGCATGATTCTAGTGCTGTTTGGGCTCATTTGCAACAAGTAATTAAATTAATTTTTGAAGTTAATCCTAAAGTAACCTCTTTTTCATTTTCAAAGTAACGGGCCTTCCACACAATACAAAAATAAATCAAATTTTTTTTTATTTAGATACTTTTGTGAAAAAATAAATTTAGAGTATTCTTCCTAGAATTTTACCTCACCAGGTCATGGAAAAAGTTCCGCAGATGCCATCGGTGGTATCATAAAAAATTTATGTGATAAAAGTGTTGCTAACGGAATGGATATTAATTCCGCCGATGATATTAAGCAAGTTGTAGGAAGCAAAGGATTTAAAGTTAAATATTTTGCATTTCAAAAGCAGATTGTCCTGCTTTTACTGCCACATTAATCAATTGAATTGTTTCCCTTGTCAAAATTGTTTTTTAAAGCTTTGTACTAAGAATTTTGAATGTAACAAAAAAAAAAAAAAAATGTTAGCTTAAAAAAATGTATAAAATAGTGAGCAGTGCCAGAGAAAAAGAAATAGTTCAAAAACAAAAGAAAATACAATCAGTACAAAATAAAGTAAAAAATCTACAAAGCAATTAGAAAATAAAAAGCGACCTTTAAGATCTTGTTAAAAAAAATTTACGTCAATAAATAATGATTATTGACAGCATTTGTAAATAGCTATGTATTTTTTAATACTTTTTCTCAAATAAAAATTGTCTTATTTAAAGAGTCCATTGTACTTCATTTTCTTTATCACAGTCACAAAATTTTCGTACTATTTTAATTACCAAAATTATCTTTATAGTTTCTACATTTGAAGTAATTTTTTCACTGTCACCGCTACATCTTCATTATTTATTTATGCTATGATGCAGAGTTAGTGAGTTCATAACTGTTTTTAGAAGCATTTTAAGGAAAATTTTCAGGATACACTTTTCTTTTAAAATAAGCCAAATAACAGGGAAAAAAATTGTCCGAGCCAAAATGATAATTTTTGTTTGTTTGTTTAAACGATTGCTTATGACTTTTGGAGCCTTTATTGAAAACCAACGAACATAAGTTTATTTCTTTCTACACTCTGTAATGAGACTTTACACCAAATTTCATGAGTGTGCTACAAAATTTACAGGCTTTCACTTTTTTGCCTCTAAATAAAAGCTCATATGGTATTGAAGAATATTAGAATTCACTCTTATTTATCGATGGGTACGTATTAAATGCGAATAATTGAATTTATCGACGATTTCAAACTCTTTTCTTACCAGGAAAGTGCGTTACCAATTAAGCCATCGAGGTCTCGGTGACTTCTCTTCTCAATCGCTACATTTTATACTTTTTTGGCAATTTTTCAGTTCAACACCCTGCTCATATGGTATGTAAGAATATAAGAAGTTACTATCACTTTTAACTGAAAAAGTAAAGTTGCTTTGGCAATATCATATTCGATGGGGAATGTCAATAAATTTGACACTCACATTTGATAAATGCTTACCCATCAATAAATTAAGTAAACTCCAATTTTAATGATGTTTGTCTTCAAATTCACTACAATAATAATAACTTCCATAAAAATGTGGTTTATCATTATAAAAATTATTTAATAAATATTGTTACATAAAAGGTAAATTACTTTTATAATTTTACTTAAGTCTATTTCGAAGTACTATGTATGATAAAATGATTATTGATTTCTAATAGGCTCATATCTAAAAGTGTGATCCTATTATGAAATAAACATTTTGAAAAAGAGTTAAGTAGCTTTGTTAACAAAACTGTAGTAGATAAGGTGAAGAGTATAACTGAAAATAACATTGATATGTTTTATGCTTTCCTAATAAAACATCAAAGAATTAAATATTTTTAGATCTTCTACGAACATTCTATCGGAAACAATAAAAATTGTCGTAGAATCAGTCAATCACCACTCAGTTACCAAAATTACAGATGTAAATGTAACGTATGTACAACCTGAAGAAACCTAAAAAATTCTTGAAGATACCTGGAGGGCTTAAAAAAGTTTTTAGATTTATGGAAAGTTTGAAGAGTGAAAAAACTATAGTTCTCAACATAATGCAAGCCAAAATGAGGAAAAATTCAATTTGAAGTTAGGTCCTTGATTACTTCCTTTAATTTCTTGTAGTGACAATCTTAAGCCAGGCAATGCCTTATCCAGCAACGCCCATGAACAAAAGCTCTGTGGTAGTTATTTGCAATGTCAGTTTTTACTTTCAGATTTAGCTGCAAAACTTGATGACA